AAAAAACAAACACAAACACCCGAGGCAACAAAACGCGCTTCAAACCCAAACAGACCTCCTGCGAGACAAAAGCCCCAAACTACCTCGCGACAACAACGCAAAGGTGACCGCCTTCTTACAACTGCTCGCCTCTAATAAAACTCCAACGACCCGCTTCAATTAAAAAAAAAAAAAAAGACTCCGAAAACAACCGAGACGACTCCGAAACAAAAACGCTCAACGCTTCGAAGCCGAAACAGACCCCTGCGAGAACAAAGCGCGAAACCACTTGGCGACGCGAACCCGGTCGCTGACGCTGATCACCACCATCTCGCAATGGCTCCACTGCAAAAACATCTCCCGCTAGCCGCTTCCCTTACAAACGTACTCTCCAAACACCTCAGACGCCACCGAAACCCAACGCGCTTCTTGCGAGACAAAAGCGCGCCGTTAAGTTACGACCGCGACGCCCGGCTACCGAAGCATGACCGCCCTCTCGCTATTGCTCGGCTTCCCAAACGTCACCGCAACGACTCTCGGCTCTAACGAACCTCGAACTAGCCGCTGCCGTTACAAAGAAAAATACTCTGAAAACCATCCGGGCGCCGCCAAAAACACAGAAAACCCTAAACGCTTCCAATCCAAACTGACCCTTCGCGAGACAAAAGCGCCCGACTACGTAACGACGCGCATAACTGCCCCCTTACCATCGCTCGCCTTCAAAACCAGCTCCGACTAGCCGCCTCCGTTACACAAAATGCTCTGAAAACACTCCGGACGCCAAAACCGAACCTCTTGCGGGACGACCCGGCCTCTCGCAACCGCGCCTTCTGACGAGTCCTCGCCTTCCAAACCGTCCCGAACGCCGCGCCGACTCTCGCCTCTCCTAACCGATCTCCAAATAGCCGATTCCATTCAAAAAAATACTCTGAAAACCTTCCGAACGGCACCGAGAACGCTTCAAACCCAAACAGACCTCTTGCGAGAGCAAAGCGACCGACCGCATGCCGACTTCCTACCCGCTCTCTGACAACAACGCCTTCTCTGCCCGCTACCCTTACGAGCGCCTCGCTTCACCGTCACCGACAACCAAGCCAAAAAAACGCCGCTTCCTACAATCGCCCTGTCGCCCAAGCGCTTTCCTGGGAAGGGGGAGACCCTTCCAGGACGCCGCGCTCTGCCGTCGACCTGCTACGGCCCTAACGCTCGCCGAGGGCGCCGAGAGAGAAAAATAAAACCGCCTGCTCACCGGTCCTGTCGCAGCTCCGCGACCCGAGATGCGCGGGGACCGCCTCGGAAGACCGGCGCCTGTCGCCCGAGCCGCCCGTCAGCGCTGCCTCTGCTGCTCCTCTTACGGTCTGCAAAGGAAAAGGACGAGTGTAAAACGCTCCGCAGGGACTCGGGGGAGCTGGGGTTACCCACCGCCGACGCCGCTCGCCGAAAATTGTCCCGCAGACGCCTGTTGGGTCCGCTGTGCTCCCTGCCCGACCGCCTGCGACGCCCGGCTCCGTCACCCCGCCTCCCTGATGGGGGATGAGGACGGAGCTGCTGGCCTTCCTCCCTGACGCGGGCTGCGCTGGGACCTGCGGAAAAAAAACGAACTTCAGGCTGCCCTGCTGCAAGAAGCCCCGAAGTCTCCTCGGAGGGTGCCGTCAACGGCTTGGCGACTCCAGGAGAACGCTCGCCTCGCTCTGCGGAGCTCCGAGTGCCTTCGCCCTGCCCCTGCGGGAAGAAAGCCTCCTCAAACCTCCGCTGAGGGGCTGCTGCTGGGGGACCCCCGCATCGAGGCCCTACGAAGACAAAACAAAAAGGTTAGCGGCAGTTCTCGGCGAGCGCTCCCCGAGGGGAAGCTGTGCTCTACCGACCTCGCCGCCTTCCGTGACGGCATCGCCAGCCGCGTGGATAAAGACCGGGGGATGCCATCTGTCTCCTATCAGAAACCCTGCTGAACTTTCTCCTCCCGCGACATCCCAGTAGATGAGTGCACGAGGCGGTGGGCCGACAACTGGCTGATCGGCGGCACCGAGTCCGGTGGGAGCCGACGCAAAAATCTTCCTCGGTGACCCTGATGGAGGGGGCTGTGCAGCAACTACACCGATGGTACGAAGCCTGGAAGAACTGCTGATGCGCCTCGAGGCTCTGCTGCCCGTCGGCGGGACCTGGATGAGCTGGGAACCTGGGAAAAAAATAACCATAAGTGTCAGTACAGGGCCAGGCGTGAGCTGCCGGAGGGGGGGGAAAGAGCCGAGGGGATCCTGGAGTGCAGTGAAAGGAATGCGGCCGGCGGGTCTGGGGAGCTGATCCTCCTCCTCTGCTCTGCCCTCCTTGGGTCTCACCTGCAGTCCTGTGCCCCATTCTGGGGCTCGTTAAGAAAAAAAATATCCATCTCCTGGAAAGAGTCCGGCTGAAGGCTGCTGAGACGATACGGGGCCTGGAGCATCTCTTCTGACGAAGGCTTTGCAGAGGGGTTAGCCTTAATGATCTCCGGAGGTCACTTCCCACACCTACGGTCCTGCGATTCTGCAAAAAATAACATAAACTAAAAATCCGTGTGTAAAACTTAAGGAAATATCCCCCCACCACCACCCCACAGTGCTCACCTCTGCCGTCCAAGTGCTGAGGGAACCTCGCAGCTCCAGGCTCATCCCCCTCCTGCAAAGCGCCTCATACTGCAACAGGGAACTGGAAAGAAAAAAGCAGATCAAGTGAAATAAAGCGCACACACACACACACACACACACGCCTCGGGCACTGCTTTCATTTTAGCTGCCCCGTGTTGCTCCTCAACCCCAGCAGCAGGAGGGCTGGGGACCGGGGAACCATCCTGCTCGACCGTGCCGCTGCGACCGGGAGGGGATGAGGTCCCTACAAACCCACGGGGGCTGTGGGCACCCCCAGGGCTGTGCCTGCTCTTAGGGAGCGGCCCTGTTCTAACGCCCAGAAAAAGAAGATGGGGAGTCCAGCAGCAGCACTGCGTTGACCCCAAGAGCAGAGCAGAAGGATCCTCCTCCTGCAGGCCGGGAGCCCCTGGAGTCCGGGGCCGAGGGAGCTTGCTGGCCCGGACCCCCAGAGCTCGCCTCTGCCGTCCCGTTGCTTCCGCAGCCCCTCAGTTCTTTGGGCTGATCCTCACCGGAGCTTCACCCTGCAAGGCGAGACAAAACAGAGACACAACAAACAAAGTTAATGGATCTCCCCTGCGTCGCCTTTTCTGAAAGCAGCCCCTCGCGATGCTTCTCACCCCCGGCAGCTCCAGGCTGAGGGGCGCGGCTCCACCCTGCCCACCTCCTCCCATCCTGCTCCCTTCCCCCCCTGCAAAACGCCCTCGGCTCCCCCCCACAAAGGCACCGTGAGAGCCTCTTCACAAAAGCCCTGCATAGGCTCTAAGGAGCAGAGAGAATCCGGCAGCGGCAACCCAAAGCGCTGCATCCAAAGCAGGCAGGGGCAGCAACAGCAATGCCTCGCCACTCTGAAAAAAAGAAAACAAGGTCAGAGCCCAGCAAAAAGCAGCGCCCAAAATGAAAAGAAAACCCCAAAAGAAAAGAAAAGGAGCCCAGCAAAAAGCAGCGCCCAAAATGAAAACAAAACCCAAAAAGAAAAGAAAAGGAGCCCAGCAGAAAGCAGAGCCCAAAACGAAAAGAAAACCCAAAAAGAAAAGGAGCCCAGCAGAAAGCAGAGCCCAAAACGAAAAGAAAACCCAAAAAGAACAGAAAAGGAGCCCAGCAAAAAGCAGCGCCCAAAACGAAAAGAAAACCCAAAAAGAAAAGAAAATGAGCCCAGCAGAAAGTAGAGCCCAAAATGAAATGAAAACCCAAAAAGAAAAGAAAAGGAGCCCAGCAGAAAGCAGCGCCCAAAACGAAAACAAAACACAAAAAGAACAGAAAAGGAGCCCAGCAAAAAGCAGCGCCCAAAAAGAAAACAAAACCCAAAAAGAACAGAAAAGGAGCCCAGCAAAAAGCAGAGCCCAAAAAGAAAAGAAAACCCAAAAAGAAAACGAGCACAGCAGAAAGCAGCGCCAAAAAAGAAATGAAAACCCAACATGAAAAGAAAAGGAGCCCAGCAGAAAGCAGCGCCCAAAATGAAAAGAAAACCCAAAAAGAAAAGAAAAGGAGCCCAGCAGCGCCCAAAAAGAAAAGAAAACCCAAAAACAAAAGGAGCCCAGCAAAAAGCAGCGCCCAAAATGAAAAAAAACCCAACATGAAAAGGAGCCCAGCA